ACTTTTCTTTAACCTACTCGGGAGTGACGTAAACGTTTTTAAGTGCACTCCCTCCTTACCCAGACTATCTCTTCGTTCCTTTATACAGCCCTACTGTGTTCATCAAATATGAAATGTAAAAAGAAATGAAAGGTGGAAACAAATTAAGAAAGTGATTGAAGCTCATCTTTCTAGTCTTGCTGAATTTATAAGCCATGCTCATACGGAGCAGGGAAGAACTGAACACTGATTCCAAAGGGCAAGGCCCTCCAATGTGGACTCACATGTTAGTTTCCAAGTCTGCCACAGTTTCTCTATGAAGACACAAATGTTCTCATTGCCTTCCGTTTTCTTATGTGAAAGGATACACACTGTCCTGGACCAGGAGATTATTCTGTATGGGCTTTTGGAGCACGGCTTCCTTGTTGCTTGAGGTGCACAGTGTCTCTTGAGTGGCTGCACTGTTACGTAGATAACCGGCCCCCTAAGGATGACAGTGTACAGTAACCTCTCATACATGTAAATATTTATGATAAGTTTTGAGACATGGGATTATTGGATGATAGGGAAGCTGCATTTGTAATTTTCACAGATATTTTCGAAGCACCTCACTAAGGAGGTTGTTGCTATGTGTACCCTGATGCTGGCTTCACAGACTGTGTAGTGTCCAGCGTAATTTTTGATGACCTGATAAGTAAAATACAGAATCTTGTTGGAGGTTTAATTTGAACTTGTTTGGATATGAATGAGGTATAACATTTTGTGTTGAATAGCAATTTGTATTTCCTTTATTGGGAAGTATCTGTTCATTGTATTTGCTCTTTGTAGATTTTTAGGAGTTTTTCATACGTCAGGAAACTTATCCCTTTGCCTGTAATTAATAGATTCCAAACATTTTCCCTGGTTTGTGACTTGTCTTTTGACTTTGTCTTTGGTGTATTACAGAAAGGTTTTTATTTTTTCTTATGTAGTTGAATTTACCTTTCTTTGTCAATGCCTCTGTATTCTGAATTATAGCTAGAAATGACTTCCCTGTATAGAGGAATCTTTATTTTTTTAAAAAATATTAAAAATGTGATCTTTTACTTTTGATTGTTGATTTCATTGCTTTTAACAAAATCAAAGCTTTTAAGCTTTTATGCACGTATGGTTTATCCTGGTATGAATTCAATTCTACTTTTTTTCCTGATGGCTCCCTATTGTCCTGTTAGCATTTTCTGAAAAGCTCATATTTTCCTTTACTGACAGGACCAGATATCATATAGACCAAATTCATGATTCTTTTTCTTCTGCTTTGTTGTCAGTCTATTTGTGTACCTCCACAATACTGTAATAACCGTTGACAATTTATAGTTTTTATAAATGTAAATATGACTAGTAACCCCTTACTGGTCTTCTCTTTTTTCAAGGTGTTTGTGAAGGCTACTGTCGCTTCACCTTCCCATAGGAACTTCAGAATCTGGTTTTGTCTTGTCCCAGAATAATAATAGGAGCAGTAAAAAAATAGCATCTGTTGCCTATTTTTATAGTAAAGAAGAAAAAAGTCTTGAAATCTTAGGCTCTGTGTAGTCAGGGACTCCCGCAAACAGAGTTGTGATTTCCCAGGCATACATCTTATCCTTGTAGCTGTGCATCTGCCATGAGGAGTTGAGAACTCTCAGAGCAGGAAAGAGCATATCCTCCCATTCCCTTTTTTACACGCAAGTAGGGATTTGGTAAGGGAAGGAAGGAAACAAAAACTAGTAGCTTTTGAATAATTTGGATAGATTATTTTCATTATTTACATTGCTGATTGTGATGGGATTTAAAACAATAAATGACCACCTTTGGTCACTGTGTATATCAGTGATGATGATTTACTATTCATGTTTAGCCTTTTAAATTACTCTTCCAATTTCATTGCACTTCAAAGAGCCATTTAAGTAGAGTTTCACATTTTTTTAATATTCCGCCTTGTTGGAAGGCAAAGTTGGAGCTATAGTTACGAAGCTTAAAAATGGAAGAATGTGATGGATTATGTTCAGATAACAGAGATTTCATTTTAAGGGCCTTTCTGCTTGCTTTCGATAGTAAATCCTGTTCCCAGAGTGAATACTCCTTCACTAGAGAATCAGTCATTGGTCACTTTTAAGCACCTAACTTTTGGGCTAGTATTAAAATTTTTTGAGGTATAGCCCTTTTAAGAAGTAAGTCATGGTGTTGATATATGTGAAGAATGCCCATAAATTGCTAGAACTTACCATCATTATTACCCGGATACAAGACAGGAGCCTCTGCTATTGTGTCAGAAGTCTAAATTGGACTTCTAAATTTGAGATATTGAAATGGCTTAAATCTGGGTATGATTTGCTCTGTACAAGCTAGCTAGTCTTCGCTGGTATACTTCAGTTTGTATAGTTGACTATATAAAGCACATCACAAATATTAAGGATAAATATATTTAATTGATCTATAAATGGAACTTCAGAATCTGTTAAGATAATCCTGATAAGAGAATTGTTTTGGCCTTCTCACTTTAAAAAGTTACAGCTTGGTCACGTTCACCAAGCATGCGTGGGCGGCAGGGCACGTGGTAACCATCCTGACCCGCTGCGCTGCTCTTAGTAGACTAGCCAGCCACGCTTTGTTCGCCTTATATTCTCGTGGGAAGGAATGTTTATAGATGAATAAATTGGTTTGGTTTCTCTTTATCTTGACATGGGTGCCAAATAAAATTATATGCTTTTGTATTACAAAAATGATCATTCTCACATCATTCTAAGTGTATATTGATAACTGAGCTGGGAGTGTGTAGTGCATGTCAATCAGCCACACTGAAGCTTCATTGCATTTTTGTCATTTTGTAATTCTGAGTATACCACTGGAAAGTAAGCTTCTCTGCACTAAAACATAATGCTCCACAGGACAATGATTTTAGTATTTTTTTTTTGTTTTAATCACTGGTTTACCCCAAATGCGTCAAGATAATGCCTGACACATATTGGGTGTTCAAAATATTTTTTGAATATCTGAGTAATGGTTAGAGTCAGACTCCTGGATGCACAGCCTAGCAACTCCCCATTTATGAACTGTGGCCTTGGGCAAGTTTTACCATCCTTCTGTGCTTCTGTTTCCTTATCTTTAGACTGGGGATGATAATGCTACCAAACGCAGAATTTTTGTAAGAAATGTACAGTGGTTGCCTTTGCTATTACTGAATAGTCAGGGTTACCTGATAGGCTGCTTTAGCATGTTTTTATTCTGTGTTTATTCTGTAGTATTTATTTGTACTGTGACAAAAATCCTTAGCCTTAGTTTTTTTGTCTGAAACGTAAAGAACTGATTGGAGAGTAACTTAAGTGTCTTATGTTCTGGCTCCTTTGGCTTAAATCACTTTTTGAACATGTACTTGGAGGCCATCCCAAACCCATCTTTTGTTTTCTTGGAATTGCCAAATTTCTTATGTTTGCCCCTGTGGTAATTCATCTTTTGGTAGCTTCAAATACAAGAAGGATTATATTGAACCAAAAAATCTCATTAAAGAATCCAGTGGTTCATGAGCCTTGAAAAACAAGTCTATCCTCATCCATGTAGTAGTTCCCTAAAATACTTAAAAATTATTATCATGTCCCCTTGAGAGGCAGCTCCAAACTGATCATCCCTAAAGCAAACTCTTGACCTCCCCTTAGCATCCTGATCCCTGACCTGACAATTGAAGTTCCCAGTTCTGGCTGTTACAGAAGGGGAACATTATCGTCTCATTTTAGATTCTGGATGTCTTCAAAACCATAGGATTGCGGAGAGAGTAGGATGTGAGCTCTGCAGCACAAGGGTTAGTTCATAACTGTCAACTAAGTCCCCCAAGTCTTTCCTACATGTGTCGTGTACCTACCCCATTTCATACCCATTCATTTGGTCTTGCAGGTACAAGCATAGGATTTCCCTTTCATTTTGTTAAGTCTTATAGCTTGCTTTTCTTGTTCCATTCTGGGACAGTCCCCATCTTCTTCCCTTCCCACCTACTTTTCATGTGTCATGCCCGATGTCTGACAGTTTACAAAAGTATGAATATCTGTACCTCTGTAGGTTTTGTTTTCTTTATTGAGAAAGATGAAATCATTCATTGTACTGTGGGTTTGATATGCCTTGTTTGATCAGGTGCAGCATATCCTCTCTTACATACATACACAACAATCTATTGTTCCTTGACATTTAGGTTGTTTTCAATTTGTTGCTGTTAACAGCACTACTGCAATGCATTCTCTCAGTCATGTTTTTGTGTCCTATAGAACACTTCTCTTTCCAAACTTTCTTGGTAGGTTTTATACATTTATTTTTCCAAATCAACTTTAACTTACCCTTCTAAATTCCAATCTCACTGGTATTACATTGAATATATACTTTGAGGACTGACATCTTAATGATTATCGAGCCTTCTCATCAAACATAGAAATTCCACTGGAATTTAAGTATAATTCACATTTTTCTATGGTTTTAGGCATGCTTTCATTTGTATTCCAAAATACAACAATTGGAAGACATACCCAGTGGTTTTCCCCTTTCCCTGAATTCTATGAAATGGGGACTTAATCATGTTGAGTCTTAAGTGTATGATCGTTGTTTTCTTGGAATTGCCAAATTTCTTATGTTTGCCCCTGTGGTAATTCAGTTGAAAGCCATTTAAAGTTTTACACAAAGACCATTTGGATGGTATTTTGAGTTTTCACTGCTTATACTGAACAATAGTATAAAAGCAGATAATGTGGTCAACAGAAGTATGTTTAGTCACTCTTCAAGTTCATCTTAATTTTACTAAGTTTGCTTGGCACTGAAATTTTATACTTAAACTTTGCCAGTAAGAATGAGGATTCTAGGTACAATATAAAGATATAAAAACATGATTGTCAAATTTAATAGAAAATCATCTGTTACAGGGTTATCTACAAAATGTTCCATATTTTTGAAATTAAAAAATCTTTTCCAGGGCCAAAATCAATTTTCAAATATTTTTCTTTCCACTATACGAATCTGAGTTTCTTAAGTGACTTTCTTTTTCTGTTTTCAGAGAAAGTTTCATTGTGCAAATTTGACTTCATGGCCTCGCTGGCTGTATTCCTTATATGATGCTGTAAGTATTACCTGGTACATTTTTCTTTCTACAGTAAGCCTTTTCATAATTAAGGGTCATTAGAATGAAACATGCTTTCATACTCAGTGGTATCTCATTTTCAGAACTAATGCCATCCTTTACATTTAGGTAGAGCACGAAGGAATCGGATACTACTGGACTTACTTTGCTTTTAATCTATAGAATTTTTCATTTTCCCAGTTTCTAGTGGCTTATAAATTCAGGACAAGATGAGACATTTTGGGGTCTATTAAGGATTTGAAATGTGGTAAGTGTAGGTAGATTTAGAAAATTAAAGAATCCCATAACAATGTTTTGGGTTTTTTTTCCTAAATGAGTATATGAACTTATTGTCTCCTGATCCCCAGTTAGTCTATTACATCCGCAAGCATTTTGCTCCTCAAATTGTAATACTTCAGCATCACCATGCCTTGCAAAACTTAAAACTGGAATTCTTCAAAGAATCTGGGTTTTAGACATAAACACTGTGTTCGAAGCTTTTCTATCATTTCCTCTGTGGCATGGGGCAAATTACTTACCTAAATAAATTGATTTTAAAAAATGGGTATAATGATAGTCATTGTACTTGGCACACAGTAGGCATTCAACAAATGTCAGTCATTTCCCTTAGTGAATCACCTCACGCACAGATGTAGACTCTTGCTTGGGAAGACTAAACACTGAAGGTTGAACACTTACCACAAGCAGAACACGAAAGGAAACTACAGTTCACTCTGCCCTGCAGCAGCTTTGGGCTATTACAGATGATACAACAGACAAGTATTTGTGAAAAGATAGTAGGCAGTCCTGTGTACTAAATAGGTGCCAAGTAAGGTATGTAGGTAGCAAGTGCTCATGAAGTTTTTAGGAGCCACTGTCCCTATGAACAGAGTCAGAAAAGCCGTCCTAGAAAGGGGGAGAACGGAGACCAGTTCCACACAGTTGATCAGAGAACACCTAGAAGGCAGTGAGTCAGGAGCATGTGCCATGGGGAAAGAGACAGTGGAGGAGAGAGGCCTGGAAAGCTAACTTAGTGCCGGGCACACAAGCTGGGGCTTTGATCATCTGAGCATAAGGAAACAGACACTTTTAAAGTGGGACTCAGATTTTAGTAGAGTGAAGACTTAAATTGCTATTAATATAGTAGTTTTATTAAAGAGTTGAAAATCTAGCAGTACGTTCTAAAAAGTCTGTGAACCTTATTATGGCTGCTTTTACTTTAAACAAGGAAACTTTAATGGATAGAATCAAGAAACAGCTACATGAATGGGACGAAAATCTAAAAGATGATTCTCTTCCTTCAAATCCAGTAGGTATGAAAAGTCAGCTTCCTTCCTGGGGCCTTTTGATATTTTACTAAATTATTTTTCTGTTTAATGAAACAAAAAATTTTAGTTTAATATTTTTATTCGCTCTGAAAAGCATACATATCTGGGCTTTTAAAAAAGATTTTTTTAATTAATTGTAACAAAGTTCTTAAATTTTGTGAGTAATCTTAAGCAAAGTTTTTCTGTTAAGTTCAAATTGCAGACAAGATCGGGCACGTTCAGGGTGGTATGGCCGTAGACCAAATTGCAGTAAACGGGGCACATCCAAAAACTTGAGTGTCAGAACTCTCCCTTTTCTTTAAGATGGCTTTCAAAAGGACCCTGATTCTAAGACTGACTTAATCTTATGTACATCATTGCTCTGGTTATTAGGTACAGTTACTGTAGCCATTTTTCTAGTCTTTTAGCAGATTGACTTCCTATACCATGGGTTTGATTTTCATGTTTAAAAGACCAAAAAAAACCTGTTGATAAAAGTCAGAAACCCAGACCCTGGAGCACAGCTCTCTTGGACCTCGCCGCCCTCACATCTTGAGAGTGTAATTTGGCTTCAGTAAACTTTGCCGCCTATACTGCTAAAAATAAGTAAATAAAAGACATTTCTAAAACCAATTATGGGAAAATAATTTTAGAACTTCCTAAGAATATATACTCGATAGCTAGTGTATTTTAGTATTAATTATGTCAAACACATTCTTTGGGAGCCCTGTAGAGAGGGTTTATTTCAAAAAGACACTGTCTGATTCATAAGTCATCTGTTACTTACCTGCTTCAAAAACTTGAAAAACCACCATGTCTTTAAGACTTTTCTTACAGAGTAGCTGCTTGTCTTCCTATTGATGATGTATTAAGGATTCAGCTCCTTAAAATTGGTAGTGCCATCCAACGACTTCGCTGTGAACTAGACATTATGAATAAAGTAAGTGACCATGTTCGTGACACCTATTTTAGGCTTGATTATCTATGGGACCCAGTCATGTAGTCATGCAATTAGAAAACTAGTTGTGCTAGTTTTATTTTTTTTTTAAAGATTTTATTTATTTATTTGAGAGAGTGAGCGAGCAAGCATGGGGGTGTGCAGAGGGAGAGGGGAAACAGACTCTCTGCTGAGCAGAGAGCCTGACACGGGGCTCAATCCCAGGACCCTGAGATCATGACTGGAGCCGAAGGCAGACGGTTAACCTACTGAGCCACCCAGGTGCCCCGCTAGTTTTACATGATTTAAAGGATAATTCAGACATTTCATTTGGGATCATACAGACACTTAGATTGTTTTTACATCCCTCAAACATTTAAGAGTTTGTGAAGACACTCCATTTCTACACGGAGCATCTGTGCCTATATGTATCTGTCACTCCTTGTCCTACAAAGTCAGTAGTTTTATAAATGAGTATGTGTGAGATCTCAGAGGTTTTCTCGGTCCTACTTTAAAACTCTATTTTTGAATGATTGGAAGGAAAACATATTTAGAGGGATCAATACTTTAGAGAAGTTTCTTGATGAGCTATGTAATTACATAATTAAACAAGTGTGAATTTTCCCCACTAATTTTCTCTTAAATTTTTTAGTGTACGTCTCTTTGCTGTAAACAATGTCAAGAAACAGAAATAACAACCAAAAATGAAATATTCAGGTGAGAGCTTTATTACATTTTCAGTATACTTCTAAATACATTTTCCCAACTGCTGTAACAGAGTTATGGTCAAGACCATATTTCCATTTCCCATAGATTTCCCTCTATTAAATAATAATCATTCAGCAAATGCAATGTGGGGAGTTGACACCCTTCCTGATTGGGTACTCAGCAGCAATGATTATGTAAGATATTATTCACAGGTAATGAGCATGGTAGAGTCAAACAAAGGGGCAGTCCTTATTTTCCCCCATTCCTGCTTGATAATCTGTTTATCTTCTTAGTGATTAAGGACCTAACATGAATGCCTCAGGTATGGTCTTCCAGGCAGACATAGGGCCCAAAGGTAAAGTGGGACATGCTTCTGAACATGTACTGATGCTGTGATATAAGTGTTTAAGAATTACTTCAGTTAGTACTTATAAACCAGGACAGTAAAGAAACTGTTGCCTACAAAGTAATCAGTTGCCCAAGGATGACTAAATAGGACCTTTTCACTGTACTTCCACTCTGAGACTCCTTTAGATGAGCTCCCTGTTTTACAAACATGTAGACTAATGAAACTGGGCTGACTCCCAACCTCCTCTTCACATACTAAAGTTCTGATATTACCTCTTATAACCCCATTAGACATTTTTTTCCTTCCCATTTTGACTTCTATGCTGATTCTGTCTTGTAGTTTATCCTTATGTGGACCAATGGCAGCTTATGTGAATCCTCATGGATATGTGCATGAGACACTTACGGTGTATAAAGCTTGCAACTTGAATCTGATAGGCCGGCCTTCTACAGAGCACAGCTGGTTTCCTGGGTAATGTGGTGGTTACTTTTTTTGGGGGGGGAGTGGGTTTGCCTTAATTGGACAGAGTCCTAAGCAGAGCTGTTAGAATTGTAATCAAAAATAGTGAGATGAATAATTCTATTTAAATGTTCTTCATTTTATGAATGGCTAGTAACAGCTAGTTTGGCATACTCTCACTAAATATAAAGTTAGAAGGTTGGCAACTGCAGTTATCCTTAAATTAACTATACATTTAATCCAGACTTAGCTCATTCTGAAAACCAGCTGGCTTAAAACCCAGTAAAACTGTATCTGAACCATATTCTGTAATGTCAAACCAGAGAATATTTCCCAAGCAATGACAAAACAGCTGGAAAAGCATTGAATCCTGGTTTTCTTCATTTTTTTTCTTTCTTTAGCCCAGTGGCCTTCAAAGTATGAGCCTAGAACTAGCAGCACCACCTGGGAACTAGTGTTAATAGTCTGCTTCCAAATTCTGGGTCAGTCTTTTATTTTGAAAGAGGCCAGCAGAGTATGAATTAATGATTACAATTGTCCTTTTGGGGGCACCTGAGGAGCAAAGCTGGTTAAGCATCTTTTAGTTTCTGCTCAGGTCATGATCTCAGGGTAGTTGAGCTCAAGCCCCCACGTCTGCTTAAGACACCCCCTAAGGCTTTCTCTAAAATAAAATTAAAAATAATTGCCATTTTGGATGTAGGACCGTATCACTTGAATTGTCCAAGCTTATTTAACATCCTTGTTAAGGATTAAAACTAGAATTAACTGTTAGATACAAGTGGTTTTGTTTATTTTTCTAGTTATACTTTGATTTTCTGGATGAATTTTCTGACAAAATCATTCTTCAAAATCATTCTTCAGAAGTAGTTCTTAGAAATTCATATATGTCTCCCTCCCACCCCCCATTTTAACTCATAAGTGTATTTCTGGAAGTGGATAGTGTTTTGTAACGTGACTGCAATACAAAACCACGAAGGAAAGGTACCTGCGAGTTAATCCATATTAACAAGATTAAGTTTTTCCTCCAATGCCAAGAAAGAAAAAAATAAACACAGCTTAAGAACACAATCAAATTTGTTTCAGGAAATCATATAGAATTTAGCTCTGTCTTGATAACAGCTTTATACAATGATAGGCTTGGGGTACAGAAATGTGTTTCCTTAGCTGATACCTTTCTTTAATTTTGTAGGTATGCTTGGACTATCGCCCAGTGTAGGATCTGTGCAAGCCATATTGGATGGAAATTTACAGCCACCAAAAAAGACATGTCACCTCAAAAATTTTGGGGTTTGACTCGATCTGCTCTGTTGCCCACAATCCCAGACACTGAAGATGAGATAAGCCCCGACAAAGTAATACTTTGCTTATAAACAAATATGGTAGAGATAAAGTTATTTATCTAGTTGGTCTTGTAAAATCAGATCTGCTTTGGAAATTACTGCTTTTGACGCATACCTAAGTAAAAAGCAACATTATGTGGAAGGTTGCAGTTTCTTAGTCAAGGGTTTTTGAAGATTTAAATTAAAATATACTATTGAAAAGGCTGAAAAGCAGTCTAGAAAACTTGGGTTTTTAGGAATATCTAGCTTGATACCATTATATTCGGACCTGCTAGGATACGAAGACCTCTCTGAAAGGGAGGAGATGGGTTTTCCTGCACCAAACATATTTGTAATTCCCCTAACTCGAGGTTAATCATTTGCTCCTGATACATGGAACCAACAGCAAGTTTTTAGAAGTTCCCAAAGCTAGGGTGCCAAGTACATGTTCCCTTTGAAATAGGCAAAGGCTTTAATTTTCTTGAGTTTCTCTCCTATTGATTTGTAAATTTTGAAAATATTAAAGAGTTAAAATACAGTTTGAGCCCCAAAATAGTGTTCATTTCCTTATGTATTTGCTGAGTGTGTCTGAACACCCTGCTTATTCTGTTCCAAATTTCAATTTGAACCTTAACTAATATGGAACAGAGATACTAAAACATACCTCCCTTCAATCAGGCTACAAGTGACTGCATTTTGTAAGCACCTTTGTTCCATGTAAATTGAAAATCTAAGTAAAGTTTAAGAGCAAATATTACACATTTTCTTTGCCTAAATAATGTAGAATATTTACTCACAAGCTGATAATTTAAGCATAAAGATGAAGCTCTAGATACTGATTAGCCACCTACCTCTTTGCTTATATGTCCAAGTGTTGATGGATCCTTTCACATTTGTGTAATTAACTTCAGTTTTCATAACTGGGCAAAGTTCAACTGATGGGGAGACTGTTAAATCTCGTTTTAATTTATCAATATTTTCTTTTCTTCTTTTACCAAATGTGCAATGGTTGTGAGTGCCTAGACTAAAACGATCAACTGAAGATCTCACATTGCGTATTTACGTACAGGAGGCAAATGAAAAGCAATGTAGGACCTGCCCAAGTTGTAGGGTTTTTGTAATACTACTGAGAACATTGGGTTTAGAGGACTATACTAGTTGTTCACATAGTCTTACACTATTCCAATAGCAGTCACAGGGCACCCCGCTTTTACTTTTGCCACCTGAAGGGTGTAATCACAGTGTGTTCTATTTTGTTCATTGACACTGGCCAATAAAATTTTCTGATATGTAAAAGAAATGCATATAACACTTTTAGATTGGTTTTATACATAACAAAACAAGACCTCTGAAATAGCGGTATCTCTGCATACTTCCTATTTAGAGATTCTATTTTAGTAGGACTTAAATTATTGACTTGTCCCCACAGAGGACAGAGATGCTAGGACTGGCTATACAAGAAGTCAAATCAATTATAAAATGTTAGAATGTAACAGCTGAAACAGTACTTTGCACTGTACACCCCTTTACCTACCGAAAGCATTTAAGGCTCAAACCTTTAAAAAGCATATGTACAAGCCTGGTCATGGATATTTTAATGTAGGCCATATCTTTTTAATTCGTGAAAAAAATTAACGACTAAGGGTACAGGAGAAACCTGATGTATACTGTCACATACCACATAAGCACATTTATCTTCCAGTTCCAAAGGGAATGTTTATTAAAGGCTCAAGAGTAACTGTCAAGCCAGTCTTTCTCAGGCTTAGCACGCATAAAGAAATCATTATGACAAAGGAAGGTATCAACTACATACTAAAACTTAGAGCTTGCGAGAACAAGTTTCAGGTGTATGAATGCCAGCCACCCAGGACATACCTAGTCTTCATAATTTTATACAGGATATTCTGTCAACTAATTTCAACACAAGTTGGTGTTGAAATTAAATTCATTTAAATGTGTTAAATTCAAGTAAGAATTAACACTTAAAGACACTGATAAAATAATGTAGTTATTTCAATAGCAAACACACACTTTTTTCTTAAAGATAGTTACCACTTTTTAAGATCAGTAATGCGCTACACCGGAAAAAAAAAAAAAAAAGTTAAACCCTAGACAGGGGAAGCCAACTATACTATTCACAGCAGGAACTACTCCAGAAGCAGCAGAAGGTTCAAGGATATAAATGAGATTTAAGAGGAGGTAGACTTGAGTTTACTGCCAGAAACTCACAAAGACCTCTGTTGATCTGAGAAGGTCCTCCAAGCTGGCTTTCATTCAAGTCTCTTAAATCTCACTGAGAGGGAGAGAAGAAAACCTAGCCTTACCCCAAATTTTCTGCTATTTAGTGCCAGCTCTCATCAATTTTCGCTCTTCTTTATGTAACTTAGGAGTTCGTCTTTCTCCATTTGGTAGCCGCTTTTTTTCCAATGTTCTCGCAACTGCTGCAACAGAGCCCCAATTTCTTTTCCTGAAGAAATGCCCACTTTTCTGATGTCATGGCCACTCACAGGAAATGGAGGAATGCACCACTGCTGCATCTGCTGCAGAAGACCATGCTCTCCCTGGTACTTCAGGAGTTCACACACACGGGGCATTGCATCAGATTCCCTAGACTAAGGGCCAGAATCAAACATTAAAGTTCCATCTCATGTTAGAATGCTTGCTAATGAGCATATCCTAAAAGGTAAATAAATAACCGAGGTGAAATTTTTCATTTAAAATAAATGACATCCACGTAACACACTGTAGACCTTAATATTAATTAGTTCTGACCAAGCCTGTATATACTTACATCTATAATGAAGTCTTGATAGGGTTTCAGTGGCTCTGAACTATCCATTGCTTTAACTAAATCTTTCCTGTTTTTAACTATGAATATACCAAGGTTCTTCTCTTCTTTTGAAATCTTCAACCTCAAATCCAATTTTGTGACATCATCCTGTACTTTGAATAATGAGGCCAAGAGAGTCATTGGCTTTGGTGAAAAACCATCAGCATTTTTACTAACTTTGTTAAATTCTTCTAAACTTGCACTAGTAGGTAAGCCTGTAGGGACAAAAACATTTTTCACTGATTTTGATTTTTTACACACTCATATCCTCAACCAACCATGGTGTAATATACAAAATGCCCTGTCACTAGAACTCACTGATTCAATCTGATGCTCCATCTTACAGGTTAACCACTGATAAACACTGTTGGTATTCCCTCCCATAATGTCCCCAAAACCTAGGGGAGTCCTAACACACGAGTTTCCATTACTGATCAGGAGGTCCTGAGGCAGTGGTGGTGTCAGACTCATGGGAGATACTAACTTACTCATGACTTCCCACTGACCTGTCACAGACCATCCACGCCCCACACTGCCATTCAAAAACTGTATATGACATAGCCCCAAGTTTCCTGAAGTGTGCTCCAGCATAGACCACTGTTCTTTCTAAAATAATATTAATTTCTACGTATGTCACTCTTTCAAGTGCTTTACACGTATTAACTCATTGAATCTTTTAGCCCTTCTGTTAGACCGATGCTGTTCCTCTCACACCCTTTTAGATTCAGTAACTAATGATCATGGAACTAATCCAAATCACAAAGCTGACATCCCTCAAACCCAGGTCTGACACCAAAGGCCACTGTGTCCCACCCCCGACCCCGAAGTTTATCTTATTTTAAAATACTGCATTTCTCCTTTTGGAATTAGTCAAACATTTTTCCCTATGAAATTTTAAACCAGATGTTTCACTGTAAAAAATTCAAATATTTTATAACTTGCTCTCACCTATGTAAGGAGCCACATCAAGATCATAGAGGAGGTGAATCAAATGATTTACATGGTTACCAACAAGAATTTTTTTCAATTCCACCCAAATCCTCTCTCCTGATATTCCAGCCAAGCCTTTTGCATTTTCTGCAATTGCTTCCAAAGTCTCAGGATCGTGGTCACCAGGTTTGTCTACAATTCTCCCATAAAACCTACAAAACAAAATTCTCAGAGCATGTTACCTCTATGTTGGCATATCACTAGAAAAATCTTGTTTTTCATTTAACTGGTACTATTCCATACATCTAATATGAGACAACACAGATTTAGGTTTAAGAGGGACCTTAGACATCATCTGGTCAAATCCTTACCTTCCTTTTGTTCCCAAATGACAAAACCTGAGCTCCAATAAAATATAAATAACCTTTTTTTTAATAAGTAACTTTCTTCAATTAACAAGAACTAGAAACCTCTACTCACTTGCATTTCCAAATCAGTGACTCAGACATTTAGAATGGCCATCAAATGTACTTCCTGGAACTGGTACCTATACTGGATGAATAACGCAGAACATTCTTGGGAACACTGGAATGCCATCAACAGAACAGTGTACAAAGCTTGCCTCTCTGTGCCCATCAATACTTTTAATGAAGAGTTTCAAACAGGACTCATCTAGCTGCAGACAACGGAGTATATTTCTAGCAATCTCAGAATTGGAAGCCTTAAAATACACCTGTACTAACACATCTTTAAAATTCAGTTCATTAATAATGTAGATTAAATGACAGTAAATACGGATGTCAGTCTGTGTTCTATTATTTGCAAAGAGAGACTTTTGCAAATACTCAAATTTAAAGGAAGAGCGTTTACTGACAAAATATGTAGGCTCCGTTACAGAATATTCTAAATATGATCCCAACCAGTGAAAAATATTATTAGACATAAACTAGCCAGTTAGAATCGTTTTTAAAAAGGGTTACAGCTTGGAGTTTAAAAATCAGTGCTATGCACAAAACCATCCAAATTTATTTCATGCTTTTAGCAAGTTCATCTAAGGGTTTCTCATGACCACCTAAAACTGTAAACCATATATGAAGGCAAAGACACTCACTCCTCCGTATTCAAAGCACCAGGAAGTGGTTGGCCTGTGGTAAACACTCAATTTTATGATCAGTGCAGGAAATAAAAAGAAAAATGGACATTTAAAAAATGACTTAAAGCTGAATTCTATAAAAGACCATCACAGAATGGAGTAAATATCTATGTTTTGGGAACAATCTCACAGTTAAGTCACATTTTACTAGTAAGTCTATTGGAAGCAGACATTTGGGATGTCACCATGTTGTACTCTGACCTGCACATTTCACATGATTGGAATTGTGCTCTGGGATATTAAAATCTGTACTCTTATTTTTTAAAAATTCTTACCGGAAATACCGTAAAATTCGAAGATAATCTTCTTGTATTCTCTGTTTAGCATGTCCAACAAACCTAACTTTCTTATTTTTTAAATCTTCATAACCATTGAAGTAGTCAAATAAGGTACCATCAAAACCTATTCATTAAAAAAAAGGGAAAAGATCACTGTTAGCAAATAAGAACTGGAAAACAAAATTCGCTTTTAAAAACTATTACAACAGTAAAAGCTAAGTGAAGAGTTACAAAGTTAAAATACAGACATGAACAGCATTCATGCATACCTACTATCAGATGGAAGATCGAATGGAATAAAAGGCTGTATTTACAACAGTAACTAAAAAGATAACGCCCAGGGGCGCCTGGATGGCTCAGTCCTTAAGCGTCTGCCTTCGGCTCAGGTCGTGATCCCAGGGTCCTGGAATCAAGCCCTGCATCGGGCTCCCTGCTCCGCGGGAAGCCTGCTTCTCCCTCTCCCTCTCCCACTCCCACTCCCCCTGCTTGTGTTCCCTCTCTCGCTGTGTCTCTCTCTGTCAAATAAATAA